CTCTCTCTCTCATAAAAATATATCTGTAATATTATAGTCGATTCTTTAGTTTTTATAGTTCTATGTTTATATATTCTTTGAAATGTTTTACACTTATATATATATATAACATACATATATATATATGTATATTTGTAAAATATATATATAATCGAAATATTACGTCGTAAATATGATATCGTTTGCATATATTTTATATAGAATACTTTTATTAGTATAAATATAAATAAATAATAAGTCGTAACATTTATAATACGTAATTTTATAATGTCATATCTTATCTTTATAGTAGAAATAGAGAATATTATCGGTACGCGGTATATATAATAATATAATAATCATTTTCCGAACACATAATGCTCGCTATAATTAATAGTATTAATACACACTGACTGCAATGCTTAGTGTATTTTACATGTCTGGTTTATATATTTAAATTATAGTGAAATCACTATAATAATATATAGCGGTATAAAATAATATATTTAATTATAACTATATCATCATACGTGATGTATTTTTCTGAGAAGTCATTTTGGACAAAAATATGGCCTTTTTTATAAAAAAAGCTAAGTCATCCATCAGATATATGGTCAGATGAAGTTTCTTAAATTTGTGTAAAGAATCATCCTTCAAAAGCTTTTAAAGAACTTAATATTCTTTAGAAGAATGTAATGCAATACATGGAGTATCTCATCTAAAGCTACATATTCGTAAAGTATTTTATCTCAAAATAACATTATGAAAGTTTTCCGCAAAATATTTACAGAATGTAAGAGCAATATTCGAATAATTTTTTAATGTTCCATTTATATATATATCGTTACATTCGAAACATATTTTATATATATCCTGCAAAAATTGTAATAATCTCAAAAATTTCAGGCGCTGAGATCCTCAAATTAATCTTTACTGAATTTATTTTTGTAATATATATATAATAAAAGAACGTATGTGCATATTATTTTGCACACTTCATGAATGTTTCAATTCGTTCTATAAAAATTTTTTGTCCTTTCAGTACATTAGGAATATAAATCGAACTTTTCATAAATGCAAATAATCCAAATGTAAAACCACTACATTATTATTTCATGATTTTTAGATAACCATAATGACACTCCTTAGCTATCTTCTTCGAAATATAGGATACTTAGAAAATACTGATGATGATGATATTACAAAACGGATAAGACTAGAAGCCATAAAATGGGCATGTACCATCGATGACAAGTTTTGTAAGAATACGATCGCTTTTAAATTGAACCAACATCTCGCGGATCTCGAACTTTATAGGTAACTTTTATACAATTTCAATTATCCTATAAATTGAATTTTTGGGTGTGTGTGTGTGTGTGTGAGAGTGTGTGTGTGTGTGTGTGTGTGTGTGGTGTGCGTGTAAGTAGCATATCGATATATCCAAATCAAACAGTCTCCTTATTGTTTTTGTCAATCAACATTATATGTTATTCTAATAAAGTAATGCTTAGAATGAATATGACGTTGTATGTAAAAATATCCAATAAATTGTTAAGCGGTTTACTGATAGAATCATTTTTAATTTGTTTCTTCATTATAAAATAATTAACACGTAAAACAAGAATTATATAGAATGAAAAAGTAGTGCAGAATTTAATTTTACAATGCAAAGTAGTTTAATAAAGTATAGTACATTAATATATGAAACTTGATAAAATAAACAATTATTCATACATATGAAATATATGCATATTTATTAATATAGATAAATATATTTTTTAGAATGTTACCAGGACATAATTTTATGTATTGTATTGATTTGATGGTAGCAAATAGAACTACTTGGGATAAAATGTTGGAATTATATCAAAAGACAGATTCAAAAAAGGAAAAATTTAAAAAAACATTGTTGAAAAATTTGAGTTGCCCTGAAAATTCTGATATTATCATCAATTATTTAAATATTACAACATTTAACACTTCATTATTTCATGAAAAGGAACGTTCATTTATCATCAAGTCTATTCTTGATAAGCATTTGAACAACACTTTGATCCTTGACTATATTTTAAACAATTTTGAAACTATAAAACCCAAGTAATACCATTTTTCTTTGTAAATATAGTTAGTCTCAATCATAAAGGTTTATTAATCATGAATATATTACTTTGTCTTTATAGATCACTTACTACAACTATGATAATAAATCTTATTCTTCGGAATGTTTATTACGATGAACAAATCGATAAGGTGTGTTTTATGATTCTAAATTTATATATTTATTGACTTATCGACTATCAAATCAATAAAGCTAAACTCAAACGTTGGCGCATTTGAAATAAAAACCTCTTGTTGCGGGAATATAAATTATTTCAACTTTATATAAAATTAAATTAATAATAACATTAATAATTAATTTATTATATTCATTATTAAATATCTTCAATTAATCCGTTTCAGATAAAAGTATTCTCGGACGCTAATTTTCATGATCCAAAAACTCAGAATGCAATTAAAAAACTTATACAAAAGCGTGAAAATTTTCTTAAAGATAGCCTAGAGACTTTTAAAAAATATTTCTTTTAGAAGCGCATCAACTTTAATCAAAAGAAATCAATATAATACAAAATATACATTTATCTATCTAAATTTTCTAAAAATATTATTTTTACTACCATTCGTGAATAATTTTTTTCAATTATTTCTAACATTTTTCAATGCTGTAATACTTAGTAATTTTTAATAGAAGCATATAGCTCGAGCAGATGTAATTAAATAAATAATCTTTGTTGTTAAAAATATAATACTATTTAAATATAATTTTTTTATAATAATATCGCTTATTCTAACAACGATACTTAAGCTATTTACAGTATTACTATTATTATTACAACGTATACTTGCTCGATTTGGAATATAAGAAATAAGTAATGACGTCACCTTGCAATGATGATGTAATGATGAATTATCTGTAATAAAAATAGCTTTATATAATTAATAATTATTATAATTATATAAATATAAAATATATATCTAAAAAACACATCAAGTCAAGAGAAAGTCAAAATAAGTGTACATTAAAATGACGATTTTTATTGTTACAATTAATCTTTGTGTGTTCCTTGGAAGCAAAATGCAGATGGTTAAATTATGTGTGTTTTGTTTCACACACACATAATACACATCAATACATCATCCTATCTTTAATGTTTACCAATATTAGAGAAGGATAAAATAATATATCATGTAAATTATATGCATGAAACGGAATTCACTTCTAATTGTAATGTATCGCTATGTTTGACTTCTTCAAGATTGCCCTGTCAAGAAGCAAGTTGGAAATATCCAGACTTTTACTCAAGAATTTCCTTATACAGCACAAAAACATTGCAGTAACATTGCAGAATGTTGTAGTTTTGCAGATTGCGCTGTAATATCGCTACAACATTGTAGATATTAGGATTGTAATATAAAATACATATTAATACAAGTTTTACAGATCTTGCAACATTGTTATAGAGATGTTAAAAAACATTTTGACTTTTAGTAATGAACTGTCACATGTGGAAACATACGTAAATTACACGTTATATTATTGTTTCTCATTAACATATGACTTCTGCACACTAGATGCGGAAACGTTTGACGTGCAGCAAGTGTTTTTACGTATAGTATGCGGGAGCCATTAGGAATTATAGTGTTCGTTGGAACATTTGTTGTCGCTGCCGAGCGACAAGATTTTTCAAATTTTATAAACGAGGCCTTTGTGATCCAAATTCTTAGACTAGCTCATGCTTTCTACTCGATTAAGATTTAAAGTTCAGCCTAATTGTCGATATAAGTCGCACTATTCGTTACTGAAAACAAAAAAATCACAGTTTAAAATGTGGACATCTTTTATATTGACACGACCTTACAAATACATACTTATGTATTTACATAACATTACATATTTGTTATTGTATCAGTGACAGTGAAATTGTAAACTCAGTATTTGAGGATCTTTCGAGATGATAAAACGGTATTCACAATTATGTTAATATATTCTTGATATTAATGGCTCATTGCGAGACTATTAGTCAATTGTATAACTATTAAAATTCAACAGTATTTTAATCAGCAGAAGGGTGTAATACATAAAGTAAGTAGTTTAAAAAAATAATTCGATAGATATTTATCTCTTGTCAAAAAAATATAAATATCGTCATAAAAACTATTTAAAGAATGCCAAAACCAAAAAAACTACTAAAGAATCCCATATGATTTATGTGTAGAAAACGTTTTCGGACAATTTGCTAAAATTATTACATTTCTTGCAGCTCTCATTAAAAATTGCAATAGGAAAAACACTTTTATGTTAAATTTTTAAGTTAACGGCATTTAAAACAGATATCAACATGGGATTTCTAAAATTATTATTAAATCTCACAACACTTGTCAGTTTACATATAATACTGATCACAAACAGCGTTTTTTGTACCAACAAAACAGATAATTTAAAAATTATCCGTTTACCTAATAATACAGTACCATTATTCTATAACATTTCTCTGTTAATGAATCTTGAAGAAGACAACTTTACTTTTCACGGTGAATCCAATATAGAAATTGAGATTCGTTATGCATCGTTAAATAATATAAGCTTGCATTCAAAAGAATTAGAATTAAATGAAATGGCGACAACGTTAATTAATGTCAACGGTACAGTTTATAAACCAACAGAACATTCCCATGACAATAAAACGGATATCTTGACACTCAATTTCAAAAATGCATTGTCACCCGGCTTTTACACTCTTAACATGAAATTTGCCGGTATTATAAATGAGAATAATATTTCCGAAAGTGGTTTTATGATGTTTCCATATACAAATAAAGGAAAAAATAATACGTAAGTGTAAAACGTTAAAATATTAATAAGTAAAAATATTAATATTGTAAAATATTAAATGTAAAAATATTAATATTGTAAAATATTAAAAATACTCGATAACATGTTGCTAAACATATTTTTTGCAATTATACTTAAAAACATTTTTCAGTATGTAAATGTAATTATAATGTATATATTAAGTAATAATTAATATTAGAATTTATATATTATATGTATAATGTAATATTTAGTAGCTTTCAAAATAAAATATATTAAGTATCAATTTTTCTTTTAAACAAAATTATTATAATATTATTATATAACAATATTAGTGCTGAGTGTTCTTAAAATTTTTATATCATACAATGTAAGTGAAAATTTGTCATTATTTAAAACATTTTATTAAATTGTAGATTAGTTGCATCGTATTCGGAGCCGAAAGGAGCTAGACAAATGTTTCCGTGTTGGGACGAACCCGCGTTAAAAGCCATCTTTAACATTTCTGTAATGCATCATGTGAAATATCTGGCATTGTCGAATATGCCTCTAGTACAAAGGGAATTTTTTGAAAATGATATGACCTGTACGTACTTCAACATTTCTCCAATAATGTCCACTTACCTTGTAGAGATTATCGTATTCCCCATGATTGATTTTCACCATCTTTCCAACGAGAAAGAAACCATCAATATGTGGTGCAGATCGTCTTTGACATCGCAAATAACATTTATGTTTAATATCACTGAAATGGTCACGCCATTCTTGATCCAATATACCAATAATTCCGAAAAGGTACCGAAAATGGATCACTTCATCATACCAAATTTTCCGGTTGACGGCATGGAACACTGGGGACTCATCACTTACAAGTAATATACATAATTAAAAAAAAATTAATTAAACTATTAAAGTTAGCAAATTATTCTTAGTATTCAAAATTCGATAATTTAGAATGTGTGCGTATTTCACAGATATAAAAAAATACATATTTTCATGTTTAGATTATCTAAAATGTTTAACAATAAGATAGAAAACAAGACCGTTTATATTAAATAACATAAACAATGAAAAAATGTGTTACTCTCTATACATATTGGTTATTGCAAAGAATTATTGCTAAGGTCTCGGTAGTCTAATGTCTCAGGACGGAATGCAAGAGATCCGGCCGAGGCAATATTTTTCGCAATAAGTTTATTAAGATTAATTTAGGAAATTTGGAGGGATTATTAATATTTTCAGATCAATTGCGTTTAATGCCAACCATATCGGCGTAATTATCATTTCTGAAATTAATTCATTTGTTTGAAAATATATATATTATTAGTTTATATATATATATATATTAAACGTTACGAATTCCTTCTTTTTTTCAATTCAATTACGTATATGTATGTATATACAAAATAATGCTAAAGTGCGACCCAATCCCTGAATCTCGGAAACTGCTTTAGAAAAATAAAAGTTTTAGTATATTAAGGGAACAGATGATAAAAACATAAATTTATGAACAATTTCTTCACCTCTAGGTAACTTTATCCAAGAAATATCTCCCAGATTACAACGGAGATATCTCCTGAATAAGATTATCCGTAACTTATCTGAAAGTGATGAAATTGAACATTGGAAGAGCCTATTCAAGGCCAAGTCAATGTGATCAATATTTTCTTATATATAATCCACTATTTTTCGCACAACTCTTGTAACTTACTTTAAGAGCTTTTCAAAACAATCTATATAAAACATCATTATTTATTAAATATTTTATGAATTACATATATAAGATTTAAAAAATGAAATTTAAAAAATTGTCGACATTAGGATAATGAAAGATGTTCAACTGACAGCTAAAACATTTTGAATATTGTTCAGGGAATCACGATCTTGATAATTTCATTTATCAAGGTCAAGGCCATCAGAGGTGATTTCTCTCTTTTTCATATTTATATACATAAGAAAATATTCTTATTGTACTTTAAAATAATTATGTATGTATATAAAAAATTCACATATCTGAATTATTCGCAAATAACATAATTTTTCAAGAATACATTACATTATACATAGATTGCAAAGAACATTTTATAATTTTATATTACGTTCTGTCTTTCAGAGAATCATCAGTTATCTATGATGCTGAACAACGTCCAACCAATAGGAAACAAGAATTAGCAGCGTTAGTAACACATGAAATTGCACATCAATGGTTCGGTAATTTGGTCACACCGTCTTGGTGGTCTCACCATTGGTTAAAAGAGGGACTTGCTTCGTTCTTCCATACGTACATCATTGACAAGGTTATTTAATATTATTATATAACATAATGCAAAGTTGCTTATTATTGAAAAAACTTTGAATTATTAGGTATTGGAATTAATTCGTAGCGTTTTACAAGTGATGGGAAGTACTTTCATTAATGTATTTTTTAATGCTCATGTGAAATAAATAACATTCTTTCATTAAAAACGCTACGAATTAATTCCAACACCTAATACATTTTAATGTAAGATTAAAATGTGATAGTATTAAATAAGACGTTTTCATCAAATGTATTAAGATATATAATATAGAATTAAATACAATATATCAGAGTGCTTTAATTTAAAATTATATTTTAATATTGAACAATTTTAAGTAATCTCCAATATATTTAATAGTAATTAACTAGATATGACTCTTTTTAAAGAATTCGAAAAATTAATTAAATGTAGGCGTCATAAAAAATGAAGTTGCGAAGTTTTAAAATTGGAAGTGACAAACAAAATGATTTTTAATTTCTAATTTGGAATTTTTTATATTCAGTCCACATATCATTTTTTTCAGATTTTCGATAATTGGCGGACAATAGATTATTTTGTGGTTGACATATTACACTACAGCTTGGGGATAGATAAAGGCGAATTAGGTCCTATCACATTGGAACCTAATAATATGTTTGAAAGACCGGATTTGTTTTCTTTTATAATTTATCATAAAGGTAAGGTTATATAAATATAATTAAACTATTATCTATTACATAGATTATCTATAGATTTCTTAATGTACACACTACAAAGAAAAATTTAAAATAGAAACCTGAAACAAACAAATTCTTCTTTTGCACAATATACAGGATGTTGCAAAATTCACTCTCGCGAAGTTTGTTTTAGCAGAAAGTATCACGTCTTTTACTTCGATGGAGCAAATTTTGAAACATCCTGTATATTGTACAAATGAATTGTTTGTTTCTGTTTTCTATTTTATATTTTTTTATAATTGCATAAGTGTATTACATTGTGTATCTATCTTAATTTTATATGTACTTAATTTTATATGTCTGTATCATTAATATTTGATTGCGCTATTGTAGCGTCAATTATATTGCGTATGTTACAAAATATTATCACCGACGAGGTATTTCGAAAGGGTCTTATCATATATTTAGCCACGCAGTATGTAACAAATGTTTATTATAAATCACAGTACTAAGTATCATAAATGTAATATCTTTTCTATTCATGATGAAAAGTGTACTATTTTATTAGAAAAATAAAATTAGACACACTGGAGATATCGGATTATTATTCAATTATAGACCATACACACTTTACTTTTTAATAATTATAATTTAACTAAATTAATTTTGAGTTAAATATATTCTAAATTTTTACATACATAATCTTTATCAATTAAATTATACATTAATATTCACGTAGATTCTTCAATGATAAATTTAAATTTCCCGATGACCATAATATTAAGTTTGCGGACGGAAATCTAATAATGAGTGGTGGATACCCATAACATTTGCCACGCAGTCCAATCCGAATTTCTCCAATATTGTGCCCCGATATTGGTTACAACCAAATCAAAATATAACCTTTAAAATTGATCCAAATGATTGGATTATTGTTAATATACAACAAATTGGTAAATATGGTTCAATTAATTAATGGTGCTTGATTTATTTTATTTGTTCTATTGTCAAGTTTTACATCCTTCTGCAAAGTTTTAAATCATTCAACTTTATACTTATTATTTTATCTATAAAAACTTAAAAGAAATTTATATAATTACATTCTCCGAAACTTTAGCCAAATATTAATTGAGTGTGTGTGTGTGTGTATGTGTGTGTGTGTGTGTGTGTGTGTGTGTGTGTGTGTGTATATAATGAATTTAATAATGCATAATTTATATATATATATATACATATACATATATAAAATGAATGATGCATAGGATACTATCATGTAAATTACGATGTCAAGAATTGGGAAAAAATTTCAAATTACTTAAATTCTGAGAACTTCACGAATATACACGTTCTTAATCGTGCTCAAATTATCGATGATCTTTTTGATTTTGTGGATGGAAGAATAAGTGGATTTGTCTTCATTAATCTTATAAAATATCTACAGCGAGAAGTCGATTATGTGGCATGGTATCCATTACTGTTTCAAGTTATACCATCGTTAATGAATGCTATTTTCCTACCAGAGGCCACATATATCAAGGTAGGTAACAGAGTCCTCCCCCCCTTTCTCTCTCCCTCTCTCTCTCTCTTCCTCTCTCTCTCTCTCTCTCTCTCTCTCTCTCTCCTCTCTCTCTCATAAAAATATATCTGTAATATTATAGTCGACTCTTTAGTTTTTATTTTACGATTTAGTTCTACGTTTATGTATTCTTTGTAATGTTATCGAAATATTACGTCGTAAATATGATATCGTTGGCATCATATATTTTATATAAAATTCTTTTATTAGTAAATTTATTTAAAAATATAAATATAAATTAATAATACGCCGTAACATTTATAGCACGTAATTTTATGTCATATCTTATCTTTATAGATATAGAGAATATTGTCAGTACTGTATATATAATAATATAATAATCATTTTTTGCGAACACGTAATGCTCGCTATAATTAATAGTATTAATACACATTGATTGCAATGCTTAGTGTATTTTACATGTCTGGTTTATCATAATATATTTTACATATTTTACATATTTTACATATTTTATCATAGTGATATTTAAACCATAGTGAAATCACTATAATAGTATATAGCGGTATAAAATATCAAATAATATATTTAATTATAACTATATCATCATACGTGATGTATTTTTCTGAGAAGTAATTTTGGACAAAAATATGACCTTTTTTAAAAAAAAAAGCTAAGCCATCCATCAGATATATGGTCAGATGAAATTTTCGTCTTAAATTTGTGTCAAGAATCATCCTTCAAAAGCTTTTAAAGAACTTAATGTTCTTTAGAAGAATGTAATGCATTACATGAAGTATCTCATCTAAAGCTACATATTCGTAAAGTATTTTATCTCAAAATAACATTATGAAAGTTTTCCGCAAAATATTTACAGAATGTAAGAGCAATATTCGAATAATTTTTAAATGTTCCATTTATATATATGTATCGTTACATATTCGAAACATATATATCCTGTTTTATATATACCCTTCAAAAATTATAATAATCTCAAAAATTTCAGGCGCTGAGATCCTCAAATTAATCTATTTTCTTAATTTATTTTTGTAATATATATAGAATAAAAGAACATGCATATCATTTTGCACATTTCATGAATGTTTCAACGTTCTATAAAAATTTTTTGTCCTTCCAGTACATTAGGAATACAAATCCAACTTTTCATAAATGCAAATATCATTAATCCAAATCTAAAATCACTTCATTATTATTTCATGATTTTTAGATAACCATAATGACACTCCTTAGCTATCTTCTTCGAAATATAGGATACTTAGAAAATATTGATGATGATGATATTACAAAACAGGTAAGACTAGAAGCCATAAAATGGGCATGTATCATCGATGACAAGTTTTGTAAGAATACGATCGCTTTTAAATTGAACCAACATCTCGCGGATCTCGAACTTTATAGGTAACTTTTATAAAATTTCAATAATCTTATAAATTAAATTTGTGCGCGCGCGCACATTATTCTAATAACGTAATGCACAGAATGAATATGACGTTGTAAGTAAAAATATCCATAAATTGTTAAGTGGTTTACTGATAGAATCATTTTTAATTTGTTTCTTCATCATAAAATACTTAACACGTAAAACAAGTATTATATAGAATGAAAAAGAAGCGCAGATTGGAAATTTAATTTTACAATGTAAAATAGCTCAATAAAGCATAGTACATTAATATATAAAACTTGATAAAATAACAATTATTCATACATGTGAAATATATGTATCTTTTATTGACATAAACAAATATATTTTTTAGAATGTTACCAGGATATAATTTTATGTATTGTATTGGTTTAATGGCAGCCAATAGAACTACTTGGGATAAAATGTTGGAATTATATCAAATGACAAATCAAGACAGATCCAAAAGAGGAAAATTTTAAAACAATGTTGTTGAAAAGTTTGAGTTGCTCCGAAAATTCTGATATTATCATCAACTATTTAAATATTACAACATTTAATACTTTATTATTTCATGAAAAGGAACGTTCTTTTATCATCAAGTCTATTCTTGATAAGCATTTGAACAACACTTTGATCCTTGACTATATTTTAAACAATTTTGAAACTATAAAAGCCAAGTAATACCATTTCTCTTTGTAAATATAATTTTCTCAATCATAAAGATTTATTAATCATGAATATATTACTTTATCTTTATAGATCATTTACTACAACTACGATAATGAAACTTATTCTTCGGAATGTTTTTTACGATAAACAAATCGATAAGGTATGTTTTACTAAATTTACATATTTATTGACTTATCGACTATCAAATCAATAAAGCTAAACTAAAAAGTTGTGGCGTATTTGAAATATAAACCATTTGTTGCGATAAATATAAATTATTTCAACATTATATATTATATAATTAAATTCATAATAACATTATAATAATTAATCATGTTTGCATCTTTAAACTATTTTTGAAGAATGTCACGTATAATCGAATAATACCGTGACGCGCGTTTTAAAATCTAAACTGAATTATGTATAAGAAATTATACATATTATTAAATATCTTCAATTAATTCGTTTCAGATGAAAGTATTCTCGGACACTAATTTTGCTCATGATCCAAAAACTCGGAATGCAATTAAAAAACTGATACAAAAGCGTGAAAATTTTCTTAAAATAAGCCTAGAGATTTTTAAAAAATTCTTCTTTTAGAAGAACATCAACTTTAATGATCGATCAGAAAGAAATATAATACAAAACATACATTTATCTCTCTAAATTTATTATTTCTAAAAATATTATTTTTACTTATTACTGCCATTCGTGAATAATTTTTTACATATTTTCAATTATTTCTAATATTTTTCAAT